AAGGAAGGAGCAGCTGTGATTGATGTTGGAATAAATAGAGTTCAAGATCCCATAACTGCTAAACCCAAGTTAGTTGGAGATGTGGATTTCGAAGGTAAGCGATGAGACTTTTTAACATTTTTGTTTACTTTTTTGTATAACTTTTTAAAAAACCCAGCAAATTGTTGTTACTGAACACAGAATCAGTGACTCCACTTTTTAATGAAATATAAGACAGCGTTTTTGTTTTCCTTTAAGGTTTTAAATTTGTCGCCATGGAAACACCATTTGACACACGTTTTCTATAAAAGAAGTCTTAACATTACAGCTATTCTAGAATAAAAGGTGTCAGGGAGAGCAGTAGAATCTTTACAGGGAGTCGTTTGTTTTCTTGGGCCCGTATCATTGTTGAAACAGCTGCATTATTTTTAATATGTCTGAAAAATTCAGGAAGCGATTCTTTGTCTCGGAGTTTCCTAACCAGGGCCACAGATTTCTCACTGTCACCCCATTGGGAGTGATGCAGACTGAGAATGTTAACAGGGCTGGGAAAGTGCCGCCTGCCGGGCCTTCTGGAATATGCTAGTGGATTTCCCCTTCCCGTTCTGAACCTGCCTTGCACGCTGCTGTCCCTGCTTCTAGCTTTCCACCTAGAGTCGTCAGACCCACGCCTGGATGTTCGCTTGGCCCCCTTTTCAGACTGGGTGAGAACCAACCGTCTGACTTCTCACTTTCCGGAAAGTCACGACTTGTGGTTCAAACCATCCTTTAGATCAAGAACACATTTTAGCTAACAGTTTAGGCAAGGCTTCCTAGCGTGCCTATCCTTATACCACCCACACGCCGAGGCTGCGCCTTTATAGATGGGCTTCATGGGAAGGAAACATTATGTCTGACTGGTAACCTGTCAGTCATTCCTGTGCTCCGAACCTTTTCCTCTTGAGTAACATGGGTGTGATTTTTGATGTGTGTGTGTGTGTGTGTGTGTGTACTTGGGGTTTATCAGGGCACTTCTGTCTCGTATTGCTTTCTCCGTGCATGTTAAGATACATACGTTTCCTTTGCTCCTCATTGAGCGGAGTGCCTTTTCTGTTGGTGTGCAGGAGTGAGGAAGAAAGCCGGGTACATCACTCCGGTCCCCGGCGGTGTGGGCCCCATGACAGTGGCGATGCTCATGAAGAACACCATCATCGCTGCCAAAAAGCTGCTGAGACCGGAGGAATCGGAAGTGAAGTCGAAAGAGCGTGGAGTCGCATCCAACTAAGGATTGTAGCTTCTGCGTCACCAACAGCTTCCAAGCCAGCACACGAGGCAAAACAAGCCAATAGTAAATGCAATATTCTTATTTATTGGACTGAGATGGTGCGAAACGATACTTTGTATTTATTGAGAGCTTCAGTGGGTGGGCTTTTGCACAGGTAACAGAAGTTCCTTATAGGGGAGCACTCCGTTGTGCTAGGTCTTAGGGTCTAGCCAAGAGCTACCATTAACTGAGTGATTTATCACGGGGGGCATTGTCTCATGGAGAATGGGTGCTGAACTCTGCCCTGCCACTTCAGTTGTTAACATTGGCCTTTTCTAGAGTGACTTTTCCTAAGTGCTACTCCAATCAGAACCGATAGTTTAGGTTTCCAACCTACTGATAGTTTAGGTTTCCAACCTACTGAGTTCAGCCGGTCAAACCAAAGGGGAGATGTTGATAGAGAACACTGGTAAAAGTAAAACACAAATAAAAAGGAGACATGATAGTCATTGGGCATTTTCTTTAGAAGTGCCTGGGTGTGTATGTGTATTCATTGGTAACCAGGCTTATCTGAAAAAAATAGAATTGGGTAGGAATGAAGGAAAGCTACCTGCCAATTTACTCCTCAGCTGTCATACAGAGGGTTAACCGTCACTCACGTGACAGTGCTTGGGGAGGGTCTCTGTTACAGCTCTTGTCTTGTGTCTGGTACCATTCAGTGAACTGTCCCATGTTAGTTTTCCAGAGCTTGAGAAACTTACTATTTTATAACTTATTCATGTGTGTTGTCATCTTTGGCTCTGGCTATATCTTTACACTTTATTGTTACTTTTTTATACTACTAAAGGGTATCTATGTGTTTTCTTGTTTATCTTGAAACCTATTTTTGGAAGACAAAACTGATACAGAGTTGGGTGTGGTGATCATTAGGCAGCATATGTTCCAAGTATGTAACTTACCTTTCCACCAAAGCGTTGTCCAGTAGTTGTCTGGGTTTCTCCGATGTACCTGCTGGCTTACTAGAAAGGCTTTTAAGAGCTTGAGTTCATCATTGAAGGAAACCAGACTGCGATGAAAGCATTTTAAATTATTTTTTTAAATAAAACACTTATGTCTGGTATGGAATGTGTCTCTGAAATGTGCGAGTTCATTTTTTTTCATAGTGAACGCTGATCATTGTTTCCCCATAGTGGACGATACCTCGCCTACCCGCCAGGGGTGCTAACTACAGCTAGGCAGCAGGGCTTTCACGGGAAACTTTCACATGAGCAGATACCTGTACTTTATCCTGGATTATGGGTTATAGTACAAAAAGGATGGGCACTGAGTAAAATTTTTTTTGAAAAGAGCATGGTAGGTCAAGTAACTTTGGGAACCTATGATCTAGCTATTCCTGTGTGTGATTAAGAGCCAGCCCCAGCCTGAAACAGACGTTGAAAGCGCTTTAGTCTTTTGTCCAGCAGGTTGTGCCACCCCAGCGGTGTCATCTCTGAGGTTCACTGAAGTAGCTAATCTTGTTCTCAGTGTTTTCCATGCAAGTGCCCAGTACACACATGGCAGTGAAGGACTTACTAATGTACTTGCCAAATTCTCTCTCTCGCTCTCTGAATACGTATTTTTTAAGTTGTGAATTTGATTGGACAGAATTCTGGCTGGAAGGCGGTTGCTGGGGTGGTCAGTAGGTAGTGTGGGCCCCACTTCCTTCTGGTCCCTCTGCCAGGTGCCTCTATTCTTTCACCAGCTTGTTGGAGACCGTTTTGTAAGCCAGGGATCGCTCATGTCTGTAAGGCAGGCCTCTGCTGGTCTACCTGAATTATTGAACGTGGAGCAAGACGGACAGACAGGGTTACGTTTTATTGAATTCCAGTTACATTACACGTGGGAAAAGTTACTGGTCTGGAGAAGTAACAATAGGGTGTCTTGATAAAGCTGCTGACATGAAAATGTTTCTGTTTATACAAAATCCAAATGACCCGCGAGAAGGTGAACACCACAGTGAGCAATCAGAAAATATTAGCCTGGTCATTTCCCAGCCGGTTTGAGTATCACACGCTGGTGCTCCTGAAGCTACACAATGTCTGCCGTTTAATCTGGACAGAGTGCTGGAGCAAATCAGCCAGGTTTTAAAATTGAAACATCAAAGGGGAGACTGTTGGCTCTTCCAGATGGGCCCAGGTGAAGACAAAGATTGAGTATTGGTGTGCGATTAACGAACAGGTAAGCGATCCGGCTGCTATCTGCAGACTGGGGTGGTCGAGGTTTGTAGTGTCACCTCTTGGCAGTATCCCTTGGGAGCTCTGAGATTTAGCAAGCATTTATCGAGCACTTTCTATGGAGTGGGAACTATAATAGCCTCTGGGGATTCACAGAGACTGTCCTAGTACTCCAGGGTGGTGGGGGTGGCTAGCAACCTAGTGTGATTTGTCTTAGAAAAGACAATGCACCTGCAGTTGTCATTTTGAGTAAATGTAGCAACTCACCAAAATGATTTACTTGAGTTGTTTTGACCAACGTAAAGGACGGTTGCATTTTTGTTGTTTCTCTTATGTGTGGATGTCAGACACATAGTAGGTGTTCAGCAAACCCTGTTGGCGTTCGTTGGGTGATTAGAAGATGAGATGAGCGATAATTAAGTGTCCTAGGGGAAGGCATTAGTCACACACAGCCCGAGTCACTGTTTGTGTTTACTGCGTCCACTCACATTCCTTCCCGAGGCTAGGCCGGCTTGCACGGCTGAGTCCTTCTCCAGAATTTGGACATCAGCTCCGCCTACCCTGCCACACTCTGTGGATGGGAGTGGGACTGGACCCGAGGCCCTGGGAAATTTACCGGAAGGGCTGATCTTTCCTGTTGGAGTTGCTGATTTTCCCTTCACACCCGGAATCAACAACAAATGTTTGGCTTGTTATTTTAACGCGTGGTTCACTTTTAACAAAACCGATTTTACTTCTAAAATACTTTCTCCCCTCAGATGAATTGGTCCTGTCAGCAACAGATTTTAGGAGGGGTGGTGCAAGGACCCCCATGCGGATAGTTCAGACGTTTCATCGGACCCTCAGAAAACGGAATGAGATGGGAAGAAAACACGGGGCTTTTTCTAAGCATTTCTTACTGCATAAAACTGCAAAACAATTCTCAGCCTTGACTTAACGAAGAGTATTTTAGTAGTTCTAGGACCATCTAAGCAAAATCTTAACCTGTATTCACTTTTAAATGAAAGTTCACTATCGCCTCTTTATCTTAGCTATGGTTTTGGGGGCAAGCGCTGTTTTCTGTTGTTTTCCCAAGAAGAAACATGAACGCTTTCTCTGCTGGATTTTAACAATAAAGGTGTGCATTCAGCTCCCAGTCATTTTGCTAACGACATAAATGGAGAGAGCTTCTCGTCGACAAATCTCCAGTTTCCTGTCAGGCAGGCAGACTTCCTCTGATAAAGGAAACTGAGGCATACGCACTTTAGACTTTTGACCCAGGCTCTCCCGATTAAAGACTGAGGGGAGCCCCCCTGCTCTGTGCCCTATCTGGGAGCAGCTTCACCTTCCTACAGCAGGGTCTCGCCATCGGCTTCTCTTCGGTATCTGTCCACGGCCATGAAGTCATCGTCAGGCTCCATCTCGATCTTCACCTGGGGCATGGGGGTGACCGGGCTCCGGGAGTAGTTGAAAGCCGGTGAGACTGGACAGGAAATTTTGAAATGCAAGGTGATGCTGAGGGACAAAAAGAAGGAAGGAAAGATGATTGGTTGGTCTAGTATTTCGGGCACTTGAATGCTTATCCCGAGTAGGACCCGCATGCAAATAGTTTGGTCTGTGCTTATGGAAACCCACAGTCTTTTCCTTTAGCTGCTTGGTTCCAGTGGTCGTCCTTGAACCTGGTCTGCACCCCATTTTGGTCTTCAAATTGCTGCCCAAATGAACTTCCTAATTCACACATCTGGTCCTCTGCTGATATCTTCCAATGCTTCCCTGCTCTCAAAGGATGGGATCCAGTCTCCTCGGCACGTGAAGACAAGGCTTTCTGTGTTCACACTGATGTCCACGTCTCGTTAGACTCCTCCCCCTCCTCCCCTTGTTCTGTAGTGCGGGTGTCTGTGTGTGTATGTGCATGCACGCACGCCCCAGTGTTGTTTCAAACCTGTTTCCATCGTCCTAAATGCCCTTTAACTGTTTACTCTTACCCACGCTGTACATCTGCCAGATTCCTAGCCTTGCTCGAGTTAAAATCATCTTCCTGGATTTTAGGTGTAAGATTCCTTGCTCCCTGGACCCGACCATTCGCCCATCCCTGGTCTCGGTCCTGAGCGCTGGATCTTTGTTTCCACACTGCCTTTCTGCATCGGGGACTCGGCATCCTGCCTGGTAGATCAACGATGCTTAATCTTTGCTAAACTTACAAAAAGCACACGTGTCTAGATCTCAAAGGTCTGCAGGTCTAGCCTTGGACGATGGCGAGATATGATTTAAGGGAAAGGTATATTAATCCAGATTCTCCCCGTTGCCCACGATTGGGGGCAGTTAGCGATACAGTTCCACTCAGGTTAATTTTAAGTGACAGTAAGCCAGGAGGGACAGGCTGCTTTTCTCAGAGAGAGAGAGATTCTCCTAACACATTAGTGCCCAACGAGAGATTGGTTGGTGGTGGCTCATGTCCAGAGGTGGGGGGAGGTGGGGACAGGATGGAGGTGTCCTGGGTCATCCTCCCACCCAGGAGGCTTGAACTGATCCTGGCACAGCGGTGACAGTGCTGACTCCTAGCTCACAGGGCCCCTTGTGTTTCCTAAAAGGTTTTGGGCGAGTGCCATTTTCCTGTAGATTTATATGCCTCCAGGCTCAAAATAGCCTGTGTCTCCCTCATGCTGGATGTCGTGCAGAGGGATTCCTGCCCATTGTAGGGGCACGTGGGAGCGGGGCTGTCCCTACCATCTTCCCCAGCAATGAACTAAGCCAAGCATTTGATGTGTCTGAGCCCCCTTGTATAGAACACAGCGCACCCACTCTGCGTGGGCGGCCCCTCATGAAGCACAAGGAGCCGATGGGGGCTTGGCTCCCGACCTGGAGGCTGAAATCCTGCCAGTCCCACATCCCTTTGCTCGGGCATCTTGGGCATTTAGTCCGTTTTCTGACCTTTGCTAAATAGCCAGGCTGTTATTTCTTTCCTTAGAGCAGTGCTTCCCAAAGCGGTGGTGCCGCCCTGTGGAGGGCGCTGGAACCATCCAGGGGGCCTGCAAAACTGATGCCTGCATTTTCTCCCGGGTGAGGGGCTGTAGTCAAGTGTTTAATTGCAAGGGGACACAGTAGGTGCTTTATTTCCTCCCTGAAAAATAAAAGTCAGCCGCTAGATTGGGAGCCTGTGCCGTAGAGGAAGAGGGCCTGGTCTTCTGACCTCAGAATTCACCCTGCCTTCCAACAACAGTGACTTAAATCCACTCTAGGCTTTTTTTTCCTCAAAATTTACTTTGTTTCTTTTCGGTCTACTACTTTACAGTAACTTCCTTTCTGAGTAGTGAATTGCTTTGTGTAATATAACTTACTGTGTCAGTAAGAGGGCACCTTTGTTGCCCGCCATCAATAACCAATCATCTCATCATCTCCTAATCATAATCGGTCATCTCAGAGTTGCCTCCCATTTATGTCCGAGTGGTGGACCGCGAGAGCCCCTTCCGCGCTGCTCAGGCTTCCTGACATTGCTTAGTCTCTGATGGAATATCCAAGGAGTATTACCGTACCTTCGGTCCAGTTCCGAGTCACTGAAGGAAGAATCAGAGCGAGTAACTCCAACTGGAAGATCTTTGTCCTGGCAGGAACATGAACACGTCAGATGAGCGGGTTTGGGGACTGTACCGGGGAGCAGCCTGTTCTATCAGTGTCCCCGGCCTGCCCGCCCACTTCTCAGCCAACACTAAACGGGAGGAGTGTGGGGCCTCAGCGCTGGGGGCTTCTAGTTCTATTATCCCTTCACCTGTAGGGCTGTTGGCCAGGTCAGGTGGGTTTGGGGCACAAGGAGGACCAGGGAGGAGAATGGTGGGAGAACACGAGTGGGGCTTGGGAGTGAGAGACTCAAAAGGAAGAGGCACCTGTGGAGGAGTGGTGGTGAAAAGCCTTCTAGGCCCCTTGAGGGGTCAGCGGGACCCCCTAGCAACTAACCCTTAATCTAGGGCTCTGAGGGAAAGTGGCATGCCCTATACTTCGAGAACTGTTGTGAGGACCTCGCTTGGGATCTTCCCGGAAACTCTTAGGACAGGATGTACTGTGCCAGTGTGGGGCTAAGCCTGGGTGGGGTGTTTGAGGCAACATGATCTGCCAGCATCTTCATAAACAATGTCTGCTCCCTCCCAGGCAGCCTCCCTTCAGCAGATAGAGGTGCTTTGGTTTATGCCTAAACAGATCGGATTCGTTTACAGTCCATACTGGCTGGACCTGGTTGTCTCCGGGAACACTTCAACCACTTAGAGCGCTCAATCATTTCAACAGTCATGTTTGGACTGGCCTGAATCGGAGCCAGGAGGGAAAATGGAATGAGTGTTTTGCCTAAGGTGAAGATTGATCATTGGCATCTGCTGGGTTTGATTTGGTGTTACCATCTGATGGGTGTCCCACTTACTCTGAGCTTTCCCTAGGAGCCCAAACCATTACATGCCCTGAGTTCCTTCGGGAGAAGGGCTGGAGGGTGAGGAGTCAGTAGGAAAGGAGGGAGAGCTGTGTGTCTACTTACGGGCAATGCACTGGAGACCGTTTTGGGGGTCTGATGGGACACTTTCCATGGGAATCTTTACAACTGAGGGAGGAGGGAACCGGGGCTGGAGAGAAACAGTGGGAAAGGCTGATAAACACCAAGACGTGTTTGGCTCCTTAATCAAGGAGGAGAAAACAAGCATGCACACAGTAGGGAACCCACCCACCTCCTCCTCACATCCAGACAAACAGACCTGAAACCCAGGCACTGCTGCCAAGACCACGACACCCGGCAGAGCAGAGCACGGTGGGGCTGCCCCAGGCGCTCCTGAGGCTGAGTCTCACAGAGAAGCAGACTGCCGCCCTCGGGCCCTGATGGGCTCAAGCTGCTGACCTCTCAATTAGCAGCTGGCCATTTAAAACTACTTCTGACTCCTAATGAGTTTCTGAGACTACACGTCTTTATGGGAGCTCTTCGGCTATTTTGCGGAAGAGCAAGCTGGTAGGCTTGCACTGCCCACCCGGAGGTGAGTGGCTCCAGGGAGGCTAATACCAATACTTGACCCACTGAAGGGGAACCTCACAGTCCACTGGACCACCTGGAAGACAGCTGCCCCAGGAGCGCTACTCATCGGTTCATCTGCATGGCAGAAACTAGTTACTGTAATGAGCTTCACTCAATAGCTACGTTAGAGACACGTCAAAAACGTTTGGTGTGTGTGGAATCTTTACCCCTGCTCTGTTGAATCTAGCTGGTCATCCAGAGAAGCTATTTTCCAACCTGGAATCCTTTGTGGCACATGGTAGCCACTCAAATGTTTAGTGGATGAATCAGTGAATGGAGAAAATCTGTATTTGTTTTCACAAGGCACTTTGCCTCTGCTTTCTCCCAAGCCTACCCTTGCAAACTGCCTACCAGGAAGCCATGTGCATACGCTATGGGACTCTGCTTTTCCTAGGAGAAGGCAGTATTGAAGACCTCACCACTGCCTCACCCAGGATTTGCCTTTGCCTCTGCAGTTTCCATTGGCAAGAGATAAGCTCAGCTCAGTAGAACAGGGCAAGGTGGTTGGGGTGGGTTGGAGACTGGGAGCCAGACAGAAGGAGATGGGGGGTGGGGGCTTAGTATACTGGGAAGACAATGGTCAGATTCAAGGTTGGGATGCTACTTCCCTGTTAAACATTTAGCTCTATGCCATCTTGGGAGACAGTTTCATCTGTAACGAGCACTGGAACTAGCCTAATGCTTTGTGGTTTACCACCATCTCTGTGTGTGGACTCCCCAAGTATTCAGGGGGTCAACGGGAAGAAGCACAGGATGAGAGGGGTACATGGGACAGGCGGTCCCAGGTATCTGAGAGGCAATGTGGAGAAACGGCTCTTCGCCACCCTCCTCCACTATTCCCCTGGGGCTGGCCCATCCAATCGACTGTCCAGGGGTCCAGTGTCTACTCATGAATCCCCATCAGGCCCTTGCCCAGGACCCCCCTGCCCATTCTCTGGAGGTCAGTCCTAACATCTTCCCAGGATGGGAAGCCTGTCATCTGGTTCCCTCAGCAACCTGTGCTGTTGTGTAGTCCCGGGTCAAGGGACAAAGGGGCCCAGCCCATCAGAGGAAGGGTTCTATTCAGTCTAGCCCACCCTGAGGATAGTCACATGAACAGCTGAGCCCTCAGCGCCCACCCATGATAAGCAAAGGCTTTAGCTCATCCTGAACTGGACCCTGGTTGGGCTATGGGCCATCAGAGGAGCTGCCCCCACCCTGGGCCTGACGGAGGTGGAGGGAGAGTCTCGATGTTGGTCCTTCTGCCCAGTCTGCACATCCTCCCCACCTTCTCTTCGCTGTCTTCATGGCCCCCCTTCCTTTTCTTCTTGTCGATTTCCTTTTTCTCCTTCTCTGGGATGATGTTGTCGATCCAGGCCAGGTCATGCTGTGAGAAGATGAAGTCCAGGAGCCTTCGGACAAGGATGAGGCCCAGGATCTGAGGGTGAGGAGACAGACAGGCTGAAGGGTTGTGGGACCTGGGAGAGAATTGGGCGGGGTTGAGTGTGTCAATGCCCCTGACTCAGGCCCGGCTCTCCATTCTGTTAGCAAGGGACTTGTGGGTCAGGGGCTTTGGAGCTGTTTCAAACTTGTGTCCACCGCTCTTCACCCTCCCTCATCTTGGTTCCTCGAGTCCTGCTTCCACTGACCGCCAGGTGGTGGCCTCGCATGAGGGCCCTTGGTTACAATCGCACCCAGGTGTCCCCCACACTTGGATCACAAACCAGGCTTCAGCGTGAATTCTGCCTTGTGGGAAGCCAAGAACCGAGGTACTTCTCACCCGAGAAACCTAGCAGTCAGGAGGCACCAGTCCCTGGAGAAGAACCTCATGCTCAGAGAGCGAAAAAGAGGCAGACCTTTGAGACGACTGACATGGGGCTGCGACAAAGGGCTGACATCGCCATTGCGAGGGTCTGCTGTACCTGCAGGTGGCTGTGAATCAGCCGAACCCAAGGCGCTTAATAATGAGAACTCTTCCACATCATGACTGGTGGTTGGGCACCACTCTGCATTTGTCAACAGTCAGAGACCCACCAGAGGAGGTCACTGTGTGCTGGGGCACTGGATCCTGGCCTCTGCCCCTTCTTGGTTTGGTGACTTGGGTCGCTCACTCACCCGCTAATTTCTCAAACGGCGCCACTGAGAACTTCTCAGAGCCCTGGTGGCACCAGGGGTAAGCACTTGGGCTGCTAATCGGAAGGTTGAACCTCCCTGGGGCCAAATGTGGCCATTTGCCCTGCAGAGGTCTCTGGGGTCTCTGTGGGGCAGCTCTGCGCTGTTTCATGGGTCACCAAGAGTCAGAATTAAGACCGCACCCAGCAGTATTGTTTTAGGGGCTGGGGTGAGGACGAGAAGAAATAGCACTCGGTCACTCAGTTGCCACTAATGGCAGAAATTCTTACTCTTTTCTCCGCTCCATTCCCTCTTCTTGTTGGAAGCCTGGCGGGGTGGGGGTGGAGGGAGAGCCCCCCCACCTGGATTGCTGGGACAGCACCCTGGCTGCACATTCCACCTGTGGCCTGAAAAAATACCCTTGGCTAGGTTTCCTCACAAGACGCAGGTATACTTGACCTGCATAGTCTTAGAATGCTTCCAGGTTGATTCTGGTGAGCAGCATGTCAAGAACCATGAACTCGAACTCGGGGTTGCATGGGGCGTAGGAGAGTAGGGGGTGCGGTGTAGAGGAGCTGATACCTAGGGCTCAAATACAAAGACCGTGCTTTGGAAATGTTGATGGCAGCCTATGTACAAGTGTGCTTAATACAATTGAATGGTGGATTGTTAGGAGATAGATTTGTAAGAACCCCCCCAATAAAATAATAATAACATAGAACCATGAACTTGGAGTGCCTCAGGGCTGTCCGGTGCCACTTCTGGATCCTCAGAAGCGGGCCTTAGTCCTGCCCACCCAGGACTCCCACCTGCCAGGTCTGGGCTCAGGTGGGGTCACTAGGGGCCAATGACCCCTTGCGGTTGTGTTTTTCTTTCTCTATTTGGAATAGTTCCAAATTGACATACAATTTGCGAGAATGGTCTACAAATTCCCAACACACAAGCATTATTGCTAATGTCAGTGGGTTTTGAAGTTCTTAATCCTTTTTCTTTCTTTTGCTGTTTGTTTGAAATGAATTTCTCATGAAAGACTCCAAGTCCCTTTTGATTGTACTTTTCCTCTTTTTTATTTTGCAGTCACTCAGACCAGTAGGTTCGAGGGATTAGGAATTTGGAGGGGTTTATTTATTTATTTGGTTTTTAAAGAAAGATGCTACACAGCTCAACTCAAGAAATGAAGCCAACAATATCCTGTTAAACCCTCCCTAGATGTGTTTCTCCTCCCCCTCCCCCCTCATTCCTCCTCTCTCCCCCTTCACTTGTGGGAAACTAACACTGGGGGAAATATGACGAGGACTATATTCCCTAATTTATTACCGAGGGAATCTGGAAAGCTAGTATTCCACGGTAGGAAAGCCTCACTTTGGTAAGTCAGAGGTAAAGTCCAAGTACATTATCCTGCTTTAACTATCATTCCCACAGATTCTCTCTCCCCTTAACAGCTCTGCTGCCTTAAAGTGAGCACACGGTTGATGCTATCTCCCGGTACAAGCAGACATTATTACCCTCTTGTTCTCTCTTCCCGCCATGACACCCAGCCCCCTTTCTAGCTTCCCCCAACACAGGTATTAGGTTTCCTCACCTGTGAGCTCAAGGACCTTAATGTAGATACCACCCACCTTGTGACTCATGTAACTACTGAATATGCATGTCGTTAATCTCGAAAAGAACACCCACTACAAGTTGAATGTAAAACGCCAAGACTCTCTTGTGAGTCATTCTTTCACCCTCTCCAATGTATAGACAACTTTCTGCATTCCTCTCTCTTAGTAAGCCCACTTCCCAAACACCAGGGAGGAAGATGCATGTGTTGAGGCTACCTATAAATATCCCACGATAGTAAAGGCTCTCTCTAACTTCTCCCAGTTCTGAGTGGTCCATCCAGAGGAGCAGAGGTGAGCATGCTACCATAAAATGTGTCTGACTCCTTTATTTTACTCTCCTATCTTTCTTATCCTCTGACTTCACTATAATCTTTATATGTCATTGCTGTACATTTCTTCGGCTGTTGGAGGCTGGTGTCCCCTGCCATTCAATAACCTGTCTCTGAATGTCTGATCTCAGGTCTTCCTTCTTTTCTGCTCCTCCCCATCTCCCCAGTTATCCGGTCAAGTTCAGTTGTTAGGAACAGTGACCAGGATTTCCACTTAGCATGGATCCCCTTCTGAGATTGGTTTGAATTGTGACAGTGGAGAACAGGTGTTCTTGAAACTCATGCTTCTGTGTCCCTCCGCAGAGTGAGGCAAGACCGAGCCGCGTGCCGGGGACATGGGGGAGGGGGTCACGGTGGGGTGCGCCCACAGCAGACACTCCTTCCTCCTCCCCATGCTCCCACCCCCTTCTGTAGCCTTGTCCGTGCTCTGTGCCTGGTTCGGCGGCCCCGGTCTTACCATGACTGGGAAGATGATGGCCGCCACCGTGGACTTGAGGACCCAGAGCACGGCCAGGCAGAGGGTCTGCACCAGGGTGAAGAGGTGGATGCGGCGCAGGGGCACGTGGCGCAGGAAGGCGTAGTCCGGCTGGTGCTTGGCCGGCATCAGGAAGAGCTTGCAGCGGTCCCAGAACTGCGGGAAGAGCTCGGGCTCAGCCACCTGTGGCCTTGGTGGGCCCACCAGGACCAGGGGCTGTGGCAGGGTCCCAAAGAGGCAGCCCTGCTCCAGCCTTCAGGTCTCACCGAAGGGGGGCTGGAGGGTTCGGGAAGACCCAGGATGGGAGCGGGCAGCCCGAGTGGTGAGGTACAGAAGGGATAGGCTGCCAATGGACTTTGCCTACATTCCCGGGGAGTGCAACTTAAAGCAAGCTTAGAGGACAGGGTAGAACTGCACAGGAATAGATCCCTGTCTTTCTCCCTCAGCTAGTGGTTGCAAACTGCTGACCTAGCAGGGGCAGCCCAACACTTAACCACTATGCCACCGGAGTTCCTATAGGGAGTGCAACTTAATTGCAACACTGTAACTCTCCAAGACATCCTGCAGTCTCCGGTAAATGAAGACTAGATCCAAGGGTGTTCTGTGGGCGTGGCCCGCCTCGGGGAAGAGAGAGTAGTGCCATGGGCACCGGAGGCAGCCAGATGCAGGCTATCGATGCTGAGCCAGAGGGGCGTCATTTGCCAACTGGGGGCCAGACCAACTCACTGCCCTCGAGCCAGTGCTGACACGTGGCAACCCCTGTTGGTTTCTGAGACCACCTGCTTCCCAGCCTTTCTCCCTTGGAGCCTACTGATGGTTTCGAACTGCTGACCCTGCGATTGCAGCTCAGGTGTGACCACCACACCACCAGAGGCCCCACTTGACAAGGAAATGATGTTGAGTAAATAGCTTCGCGTCCCTTTCTCCCCACGCCACAGCATCTCCTGACAGTCAAAGCTGCCTTCCAAAGCTGATAGGGCCAAGCAAGGTAAGCGTGGTTTATGGGTGCTTCCTTACGAATCACGTTTGTTTCACCCCATATTTGAACCAAACCCATTGCTGTGAACTGCATTCCTCGTCCCTGGAGGAGAGCTGGTGGGTTTGATCCGCTGAGCTTTCAACTGGCAGCCCAAAGCTTAACCCACTATGCCACATGTGAAGCTGTTCACTAGAGATGAGTAAGTAAGCACACGGCTTTCCCATGCTTACCGGACTGATTGGGTGGCCTGTCCTGCCTACTCTATAGATCGTTGGCCTTGCACGCAGTACGTGGCAGTTGATGCCTGTTCTTTCAACAAACTGGGGAAGTGAGCATTTGAGGACTTGGTGACCCACCCCCAGGCCTGGGATGCTGACTATTCAGAGTCCGATCAGTGCAGGTCAGGGGGTGGGGTGGGGGGGGAGTCCCTTACCTGGATGCCATTCAGAGAGGCCACGCCCATGTAGAGGAAGACTCCGTACAGCACCGGCATGGGGATGTACTGAGAAGAGGCCAAAGAAGAGCTTTGGGCTTGGGGACTGAGCCTGCCCAGTGTGGAGGCAGCCTGGCCTGGCCCTGGCCATCACTGGGTTGGGGAGAAGCTAGGTGTCCAGGGCTGAGGCGAGGGTTGCTGGGGCTCTGGGAAAAAGCCTGCTCTTGCTGAGGTGGCGAGTGCTCCCAGCCTGGCCCCTTCTGACCTTGCAGATGCCAAGTGGTCTGACTGAAGACGGGACTTGTGCAACCTGGGTAAGTGCCACAGACATCACCCCCAGTCCCCCTCATTCCTGTCAGTCCCTTGGGCGGGAGGGGGGGGGGTTGTCAGATGCGCAGGCATCCCCCCACTGAGGGCAATCAGTTGCCAGACTGCTGTCTCATCCCTCCACAGGGGTGGGCCTGCTCCCTGCCTCTGGGCACAATGGACAGGCTCCTGTAGGCGGAGTTTTCACCCTACTGATAATGGCTCCTATGGAGACCCAGAGACCACCCCCTAGACCACCCTCATTGCTGTGTAGCCTATAGTGCAGCTCCTCCCTGTGGCGTATGTATGTCTCCACCTGTAATTAGTGGGCTGGCATGCCCCCAAAAGGTATATAGGCTTGAGTCAGCAATATAGCGCTCTCTCTGACTCTGAGCTCCTTGCTGCTCACTCCCTGGTCACTCCCCTCTCCCTTGTTCCCTTCCCCTCCTTCCCTTCCCCCTCTCTCCACATGGACCCACCAAGCTGGGCTGAGGTGAGCAATGCTACCATGTAATGTGTCTGACTGCGTTATTGTAATATCTCTCATGCTCTCGATGACTCTAATATAATACTTATATATCTCAACCGTACAATTGTACTTCCTGAATCCGAGAAGTAGCGATAGGAGTATTAGCGGTGGGGGCTGGCCCCCCACCTCCCTCCGCGCCATTTTAAATTTAATACTACAGTCCCTGTCCAGCCGAGGGCCCCCTCCTGAGGCTGCGTGGCTCAGGCTGGCAGCTTGCAGTGGGCCAGGGGCTCTCCACTAGCACGGAGCACCCAAGACTCAGGGCCAGTGAGAAGATTCCAAATCATAAGGACCCTGTGGAGCGGTGGAGAAGAGCCGGCCCTGGGGGTTTCCGAGGCTGTAAAGTTCAACATCATAAGAAAAACCAGGCTTGCTGGTCCGATAGAGACTGGTGAACCCCCACAAGGGCTTCCTGGGAAAATTTCATTCTTTGTACAGTAAGCTTTCAGTGTTTTTAGAGTGACATTGTTTTTGTTTTGTTTTTTTCACATTAACTCTGGGTGAAAGCTTATGTCGTCGGTTAGCCTTCCCTAGAACACTTCCTGTACATCGTTATTACCCAGTGGTGGCCCCGGGGACAATTTCTCAGCCAGTCAGCATTCCCAGGGTCTTCCTCCTGCGCACTCGGCTTCCATTAACATTGTGTCTCCTCCATCCAGCCCTGGCCCCCACCGCCTCCTCCTCAGTGCTCTGTGGTGACTGTGGACTATTGGTTCTCACATAGAAGCTCACTGAAAGGAGCTCCTATCCAGGGGGGCATTGTTTATTTCAGAGCTGATCTATGCTCCGGCTGACAGGTGACCTCCTTTCAGGAAGCGGGCTGAGTCCCACGTTTAAGGGGCCACATTCTCAGGGGATCCTCTGGTCTCTACTGGCCCAGTAAGTCTGACCTTTTGTAGGGACTTGGAGATTTGTTCTGCATTTCTCTCCCTTCTTTCCGGGCCCCTTTGTCGCGTTCCTGGCCAGAACACTGACTTTTTCTTCCTCCAGTTTATTGTGGTCAAATGGGTGATTTTTCAATGGCAAACATGTGCCACGTCTCCCTGTCTTCCCATGGGCAGTTGAGTGACATTAAAGATGTCCATTGTGTGGTTTGGCTCTTCAAGTTTTAAACTTTGGAAAAGAGTGACCTAGGACACCTCCAGCGAGCCAGGTACCAACACTTTCTGATCTCAGCAAGGACTAGGGCCTGGCTGAGCTTTGTCCTGCAGGACGGGGAGGGTGGGCACTGAGGGCAAGAAAGAGCTGTGAGCGTGGCCTGGCAGTGTTAACAAATGCTTCATGTAACACCACAGGCAATGGTAACAAATGCTGCATGCAGCATCACAGACGATGGTAACATGCTGCATGTAGTGTCACAATGATGGTAACAAACGCTACATGCAGCATCACAGATGATGGTAACATGCTGCATGCAGCATCACAGACGACGGTAACAAACGCTGCATGCAGCATCACAGACGATGGTAAACTCATGCAGCATCACAGACGATGGTAACACGCTGCATGCAGCATCACAGATGACAGTAACAAGTACTGCAGCATCACAGACGATGGCAACAAGCACTGCATGCAGCATCACAGATGACAGCAACAAGCACTGCAGCATCACAGACGATGGTAACAAGCGCTGCATGCAGCATCACAGATGACAGTAACAAGCACTGCATGCAGCATCACAGATGACAGTAACAAGCACTGCAGCATCACAGACGATGGTAACAAGCACTGCATGCAGCATCACAGATGGTGATGGCGA